GATTTTTTAATTATTCACAAATATTTTAACACACGAATTATTACAATATGAGTATTACTATGGGTCAATATATTATAAACTTCTATTAAGTTTTTTTTCCTTAGCAACAACGTACAAACATTAAGTTACTACCAAAGTGTTTTTCATACACTTACGATAAATATTATTGGAAGGTATGCATATATAACTAGCAATCCAATAATAACGGTACATATTAATATTTTATTATATAAACATTTTATTAGTTTCTATAGTTATAGAATTAACTGTAAATAATAATAATGCATAATAGTACTAGCATTAAATGATGTGTGTGTATCAAAGCAGAAAAAGGTTTATATAGTACAGTTACTAAAGTGTTATAAAGATCACTTGACGTTGATTATTAACAGCAAATGCAAGGCAAAGGATTACACTGCGTGACAAAAATGGCACTTTTGTTTTATTCCGCAAACTTTTTTTTAAATCCACTTAGAATTGCACGCTGATTTCAAATATTTCATATGCTCTCACGTGCTAGTAATGTAAGGTTTTTCCATAACAGATCAAGTTTTTTAACTACCTTTATTAGTCATTTCGACTATGATTATCGTAGTTTAACATATAACCAAGAGTTATTTGCTGTTTTCGGTGTGGCTTCGACTCTAAGACGTTGTATGCAAAATCCAGATAGTTTTTGTTACATCTGACGTTAATATCTTTTTGACAAATACCCGGAAACCTATGTCGAATTGTGATAAGACATTGTATTTTAACCACTTTAAAACTGATTCGGCAATGAAGATAAAATATAAGTTTCTCATACTATGTAAAAAATTGCGTTGTGTGTTTAAATATCAATGGAATAGAAGCGTATGGTCATAAACCACGGCTCCAATGATACTGGGATCTAATAACGATCAGCTACATGACCCCTATCCATGCCAATGATGAACAACTTAAAACATCAACATCTTCTGCCTACCATGTGATGTATTTAAAGACCAATGTTATAAGAGAAAACAGAAAGAGTTAAAAACTCATATGTTTGATGTAATGGATTTCAATTCATCATCCGCAATCTAATTTAGAACGGTTTTTTAGAAAATGTGGAAAGTGCTAGCAAAGAGCAGGGCGAGTGAATCCACCAAAACATCAGGACTTTGGAAGAGTGATATCAAGGAAGGTGGGACGGCCACTGACAATTGTTGGGGCTCACGACGAAATCAGTCAGACCTTATCCACGTTATATTTTATTGTAATTTGAGTAAAACTAGCACAATGATATATCTCGAAAACTAAAGCTGTTAGCAACGTTCTGTCAGAGTCTTCGAATTACTTGAAAATCATCACAACATCTCAGGATTTTTTTTACTGTCACGCAGTGTTAATATTATCTTACAACTTCAGAGCGTATCATTGATAAGTTTGAATTTTTACATCTTCTCCATCCGTTCAAAATTGAAAATCAAAAGTACCTTACAAAAACTTTTCGATTTGATAGAATCCTGACTGTTTTGATGCCTAATTAAATAACGGTTAAACGAAAAAATAGAGTACACGCAATATCATACCTATAAAAAACTATTTATAAATATTTTTTCTAAAATAATTTAAAATATATAGGGATAAATTATAATGCTGAGAAAAAAAAGATCAGTTTTGTTTATTAATGTTTGTTAACCGTACGTATATTATTTTGTGTATTTTTATCATGTAAGTCTATTCAAAATCTTTCTAAAATAACAAATCGTTTAAGATATGTTTTTATCTATCAATGAATTATATATGTTATGAATGCCATCACACTTTGCTTCATCATTATGTGTGCAGATGTAATCAAACTTATTTTAAAAATATACTCATATTTTCCTAATGCGCGCATTGTGGTGTGGGGCTAGCAATTTATAAACTCGGTTTCGACCCTCGGTCTGCTCGATATCAAGCAGTATGATATCAGATTTTATTTGAAATCATGAATCGAATCTCCCTTCTCAATAAGATCTCAAGCCTAAAAACTTGAAAATTTGCTTTCGTGGGAATCACTCCACAAAATATTAGATGTACATATCTAATATAATCGCCACACAATGGCTTCGCGGACTGGTTAAACGCTGGGTTGCTTTTTCGTGAAATACTAGGCATCAAACAAACAGTTTATACCTAAGCAGAAAAACTACAAGTAGTACTATAGTAGTAGTTCTACAAGTGGTATAGTAGTAGTAGGAGAGACTGCGTATGGTTGTGCCACTTTTTTGATAAGCGATAATTTTGTTAATTTTCCAGTTTCCTAGAAGAATAGTAAATTAAATGGTAATTTAAACATTTGCCTACGTGTAAATACATAAATACTATGTATTTGTCATAAAATGACATCTTACAAGTCGAAGGCGAGTGTAACAACCGTTCACACCCCAAAATAAAAACAAGAAATACTTATATACGTAGTAATATGTAGTAAGTTTTTGTTCTTTTGGCGTGTGGACGGTTGTGACATTCGACCTTTTCTTGTAAGATTTGATTTTATAGCAAATGTCACAACCGTACCCACAAAATTTGTCACAACCATACTCAACGCACACTTTTAAAAACAAATCATTATTATGACTGAGCTAAATTATCTAAGGAAAAACTAATTGCTGCAAAATATCTATTGAGTTCAACTTACAGAAAAATAACAAATTGATCTATCTGTATACTAATTCGAACATGAAAACTTAGTTTTGACTCTTTAAAAGCAATGCAGGTATACAGATTGTAGGGGGTTGACTCAATGCAATAATGGAAACTTGTTCCGAACAAACATACTTCATTGTTCTCTCTATTATGATGACTGTCACTACCGCAACCTGGCACAACCGTACCCAGTCTCCCCTACTACAAGTAGTTTCGAGCAGCTTTGATTGCTGTTGAGGAGATATAACAAATATCTCCTTATTATGCGATTTAGAAACAAATTGAACTGTTTAACATGTGAAACGTTATTTTTTAGATACGCTGCCGCTAATCCTGAATGTGCATCCTATGTAATGTGCGAATTGAACGCTATAGAGCCGCGAGATACTTCAGGTCTGCCTACATTCAAGTCCGGTCTGACGAAACTTAGCAGTTTTGCGGCCGCGTGGTTCCTCAGCTCCGAAACAAATAACAGTTTCTTCACGCTGTATGCAGCCGCGAATATGCCGACTAACTGCCAGGTAATATAAAAAAAACATTGTTAAATAGTTTATATAGGGTAGAGCAAGGCTCAAAGGTCCACGAGTGAAAGTGTCCACCACCATTATTTCAAAAGCAAGATGAAGAATATTTTAACTATGCTATTTTAAAGTATAAGGCAACAGATTTGTAACCAGCCATCACCTTAATTCTAAAGACATCGCCAGCAGAAGATAAACGACCATGTATCAATATTAATAACAAAAGTAACTTTTTTCGTTGGTAGATTTCTTGGCTTTGAGCTCTTTTATTTAGTTTTTTATATCCGAATATAGTTTTTAAGTATATTATTTAATTGTTTTACAAGATATATTATTATTTTTAAAATAAATTAAACAGCTTTTTTATATACTCTCTATAAAAGCTTACGTGTGGGTGAGGTACAAATGACCAACTAAATCTTTACACTGCCAAATGGGTAATAAGAAAATATTAAATGAACTAACAATAAATAAGAGAAAAAGATTATCAAGTAAACTAAGTTAAAAAAAAATGCTATTTTACAGGAGATATATTAAATTAATAGTTGTTCCAACTCTGCTGATAATGACCCGGTCAATTTATACCTAAAATCAGGGTGAAAGTTACAATAATTTATATTGGGCTGTAACTTGGTAATTTTGTTTTAAAATACAATTATAAAGGTAATCTCAAAAGTTCTCATCGTTCCAGTGCGAGCTAAAATATTGGCACAAGATCAAAGGTCAAAAATAGATTTTTTTGCGATTTTCAGCTAAATGGTAATTGTTTTAGCAAAATTACCTCAGTCAATATTGTAGAGCTTAAAATTATTTACAAAAAATGTATTAATACTTTTTTTCCTCAGAGCTGAGATCAGAGTTTAAAAGATATATTACTTCGAAAACCACCTACGAGGTAGTGTGCTTAACTCGTTTTTCTTTTCTCGTGGTTTTGCCAGTAGACCTATTTCATAAACTCAATATAAATAAATTAAAAATTAAACATTAGATGAATTTGTCATCTGGCTATTCCAATTCACCCTGACAATGGGGTAAAAAGGTACAGATGATATATTTAAAAAAAATAGTAAAAAACATGTTTCTGGAACTGGAAATTTTACCGATGGGAGCTTGATAGTTGTTTGTTCGATACCTGTTATGTGTTTTATTTAGTTTAGACAGTATAATTGCTGAAAGTCAAATCGGACCTTTGTGCCCCGCTCTACGCTATTTCAGGTTTATATTTGTTATCTTTAGTAAAAGTACAGTGTAAAAGAAGAGGGATCGAAAAGTTATACAGTTAGTAATACGTTTCGCTGTTTAATACAAGGAATTAAATTATTCGATAAGCCTATTTTATTTATTTACGTAACACATATTCTTCTACTCTTTGTGTGACCAATCCGCCCATAATAAAATTGATTGTCGACAAACCAGGTAACATTAAGCATTAACTTCAAAATTTTAGCTTGAGGTTATTTTCAACCCTTCTCTTAGTCGACAAGCCATGGTTGATTTTTATATAAATTTAGTTCCATCACACTTTTATATATGAACACCTTTTTCTAATCTTAAATGTTACATTTATTAATCTTATTCATATAAGTTTTATATAATACTTATAATCGACTGCATATTTTCATTTATTTATATAATACTAATACTAATCAATACTACGAAATCTTATTATTATATTTGAAAACTCATATCATTTATCTTTTACAAAATCAAAAATAATATTTATGGAATATTTATGTCATTTGTGAAACAAATAGAGTTCCAAAATGCAGTATGGATTATATTGAGCATAGAGAGATGCTATTTATAAAGCGAATGTGTTTAATTTTTATGATTTAAATCTAAACTATTTTTATAATAAAATTAAACTAATTTTTTATAATAAAATTAACTGCTATAACTTTTCCATTTTAACACAGCACAAAATGCACTTATTTTTATAACTGTTTTCAGAAAAAATATCCAGTAGACTGTTCCGACTTCCACGCAGGAGAAGAAAGAGTAACCACCGAGTATTTCCACAATGAACTGTAAAGACTGATATAAAATATAATTGATTCAATTCTAATGAAAACAATACCTATTACAAAGATAGAATTGATTGAATTATTATGAAAGCTATAATCATTACCATTGAAGTCATGTAACTGTTATACATCTTTGAAAAAAAAATTAATAATCCGATACAACTATGAATATATAGTCAAAATCTGAAATTTATCTTAATATAAAATATTTTATAAACAATAATCTTAAGTAGAATATATTATATTAGAAAATCAACAAAAAAACAAGCGATGATTTAGCTGAGTTAATTTAATTTGTGATCACTACTTAGTATATAAATTTAGTTTAGAATTTAAATATAATATTTTTAATATATTAGTGCTATATATTAATAATTTATTCAAATATTTTTTATGAATTTGTAATATATTGGCGTTGGCTACTAATATTGTTTTATAAGTAAAAATGTTTGCCTTATAATCACTTAACTAAATGTGACTTGAATATTTTTGTAGTGTATACGCTATAAAATAATTATGCTACTAAAACATCATTTCTGCTAACTTTAATTTTTATCAGATATGATATGTTTTAAAAAACATCACTTGCAAATAATCGGATAATAGGGATGTTTAACAAAATATACAGAATCTTGGCAATAAATTGTGCTTCAGGTGACCTTTCACTGTTATTTTTTGTTACCTTGGAAATCTGCTCAGTAGTAAATAATTAATAACATAAGTATTAATTAAAATATATTAAGGGCCACTTCAAGCTCAATTGTAAATATGGATAAAGAGAACATATGCATAAAAATGATTAATGCTGTCTAAATATAAAATTAATATTCAATTAAAGGCACAGTATAAAAACATAACTCGACCTTGCATTTACAATGAGCAAAAGAAATTTTATTTTAGTATAAAGATTTGAAAATAATAAATGTAAAGCATCATAAAAATTATAAATTTATAAATGTGTATAGTAATAATTTTTATAAAATAAAAAAAAAAATCTATTTCTTTGTGTCAGTTTTTTAAGATAGAATAATATAATTGATATGCATTTAACACAGAAATGGAACAAATAAATTTTTCAATAATTTTACTACAAAAAATAGTTTGGGTATTCAATTTAAACTTACTACTTCGAATTTTTTTAATTATTTAAGAACTGTCGGATGTATAACTAGAATAATGCACATTCTGATACATATATTCTAATTTTATGAGCTATATTTAAAACTATTAAGCAAGAATAAAAATGGCAGATAGTACACAAATTTATTTAATTAGGCAACGAAATATTCAAAACTACAATAATAGCTTTCAAAAATTCTGTTAATTGTTAATTGAAAGTAATAAAATTTTACATGAAATGTGATTATATTTTATGAAGTACATATAACTGAATACGAAATTAACAGAAAGAGAATCACACCATAGTAAACAATATACTCGTATATGTAACAGATCTTTTAAAATATCAAGTACTGTTACCCGCAACCAACAGAAAATTAAGTTTCACGTTTTAAAAAAATGTTTTATGTAATAGCTTTTTACAAACCATTACTACTATTGAAAAAATCTTCAAATACTAGAACGTCTTTATTTTACCATCTTATTGGATTTACATTGACATCTCACATGCATATTATCTGTCATTATCTATTCCATATAAAAATATATTCTAATTTAAGTTTTTTTTATAAAATTTTTAATCTTAATTGTAAATAGAAACTAATAAAAATTACTTTAATTCATTTTACCAATATAGAAAACTTACCACAAGGACTTTTACCGCACACTAAAAGTGCATATATATATTCATTTACTAATAATAAACTTGTTTATAAAGATGTCACAATAATAATTTACTATTCTTTGTACAATAAATTACTATTAAATCATTAATAAATTGGATATAATAAAAACTGCATATTACATAATTTAAGATAAACACCAAGCACGGTTTTGATTTAAAATGGAAACACATTGAATCAACATTTTTCTCACTTTTTCTACATTAACAATTTTTCTATACTCACATGGGCTTTTAAAATGATCAACAATGTTTTGTACAATTTAGAATTTGGTTTTGGAGTTTTATGTTAATTGCAGCAGCAGTATAAATGTAATGCTTTTTGGAAGAAAGTATTATTTACGCTTAATATTCTTGAAAACCCATTCCATGCCATCCTGCAAAGCAAAATTTATTGAATTGAATTCATTATAAAAAGTGATATTATATTGAATTACAAAAAAAAACAATAAACAGAAAAATATTTTAGGACGAATTTAAAATTATGCAATTAACTTCGATTTAAGAGTATTTAAACCCTTTGCGGTCGGCAAGAATTCGTCGTTTACCCGCCAGCAACTCGACGCGAATTTTTGACGCAAACTTGCATTCTGTAAACGTTAAATTAGGCAGTATATTTTTACAGTTAAGTAAGGAATTGAAATGAAATTTCTTTTATGTAAATGTGAACATTGAAGAACATATATTTGTAAGAAATATCAAAATTTATTTCTTATAATTTTCTACAGTATGGTAAAGTTGAAAGCAAATTTCAAAATGCATATCGAGTTGATTCCAGTGTCGATATAATTAGTTATTTTTAACACTGTATATATCTTTTTTGACTATTTATGACAATAAGACAATAAATAAGCGGAATAAACTTAACCCGCTGAGAGACACAAATCGCTTTATTTAGATAGCATTTTAAAATTTCTTACAAAACAATAAAAAGGTCGCGCAAAGGATTTGCGAATTTTCCCACGCATGTGTAGAATCTTGGTAAAAATAATTTTAAAAGTCTTTTCTCCATTATATCTTCAACCAGTTTACGAACAACACATATATTACACAATATCTATTTGTGATTTTTTGAAGTTAGTATTTTGTGAAATATTGTTCACTTACAAGTTTAATGTTTATATTAATTATAAATTAAAATTATAATTATATAGTGTAGTGAGTGCATTACCATATCCAGATATGATGGATTGTGACATAAAGCCACCACAATGTACATAAATGTTATATGCATATCAGTTTGGAATATGCACTACTACATTAAATATAATATGTAACCATAGGTGACGCCATATAGTCGCCATCTGACCGCAGAGGGTTAAAATTGACATAGTACCTTGACACCAGCTCCTGTTAGTCCTGAACTTGCTTGAATTTGCCACGAACGATCTTTTAGTTTGTGAAGATTCATCATCTCAGCGATCTCCGAAGCTTTCATGGCAGTGTCTAAATCTTGCTTATTTGCAAACACTGCAAAAATTATAAAATTATATATTAATCATTCATGATGAGATTAGTTTTATCACATTTTAATAATTTTGATAATAATCACCAGATGAAACGATGACCAGTGGTCAGTGATCACATCAAAAGTCTCAATCATAGTTTTAATTTTGATGTTGCTATAATTTTATATCAAGAGCCGAATACACCACAGAGACGCTTTTTGGAATCTTACTTTATACAATTATACAAAAATAGTATTAACAAGAGGAATGATACTTCTTTACTGTGTGAAAATTATCATAAAATAATTAGGATAATTCTAATTTAGATGTAAGTCACCATATTACACCATATTACTTTATTTTAAATTAGTTTTATTTATTTGTTTCATTATCACATAGTTTAGTTATTTTATATTCTCTTTAAAATTGTCGTCCACTGAAGAGAATTTCTACAATTTTTATTTGATGTATTGCCCTCAAGATTTAATCTCACATATTTCAACATCAAAATTATTAAAATATTTTAGAATATATATATATATATATATATATATATATATTTATATATATATATATATATATATATATATATATATATATATATATATATTCTAGTAATTTATATTTATTTTGTTCAATTAAGTAATATATTTATATATAAAATTTAATTATTCTGTAAAATAATCTTTTTAATTATATATTAATATATTTTATATGTATTTATATATATTATATATAATAAAATATTTATATTATTATTAATTATTCCGGTATATATATATATATAAATACATATATATATATATATATATATATATATATATATATATGTATATACGAGTGTACGTATATAAAAAGTTAATAAATTAAATAAGAAAACGTGTTTTACCTAATAGAGGTACTCCCTTCAATTTTTCATCAGCTAAAAGATCATATAGCTCGTCGCTAGATTCTTCTAGTCTCCTACGGTCAACGCTGTCAATGACGTACAACTAAATAGTATAACAATGAGAACGACTTTAGTACATGTACACACCCCCCCCCCCCCACACACACACATATATATATATATATATATGTATGTATGTATATGTATAAATATGGATCGTAAAGTAGATTTTTATACATTTGGACAAGTCATTTCTTGTATTATAAATAAATATTTTATTAAATTATATATTGGCCGTTCTGGTCGAACAACTTTTGTCATATTTCTGGTAGTTGCATAATTTGGGGATCATAGAGTTTTTGGTCGCTATTGGCATAAAACGAAACAAGGTGCTTTTTGACCTCCTCATTCGAGGTGAAGGTTTTGCCACCTAAAAACTTGTTGTTATTTGCTAGTTTTTCAAAGCAATCGCGCTGCGTAGCTGTTTTAGAGACAAAATATCAAAGTGAGTAACTACCCTACGGAATGTTAACATAATTGACTAATTATTGTTAAATGTCATTACCAGAACATCAGTGTTTTCGTAATAATTTCGCCAATAAGGGCGAATTTTACTCTGCCCTCCAATATCCCAGACATTTAATTTGTATCCTTCGGACGTAACAGATTTTATATTGAATCCGGCAGTCGGAGTTACCTGAAATGCAATGTTATATTAATCTGAATAGAACTATACATACCACATTTAAATTAAATAAACTTCACAGATAAAAGTATATATATATATATATATATATATATATATATATATATATATAATATATATAATATTATTATTAAATACTAATCAACTAATCTCACAGGCCTTCTAGAATCAAAAATATTTTAGTTGATCAAGGAGATCTGATAAATAACTTTTAATTTTTAACATGTTAAACAATTATTTTAATTTAGAATTATTGAAATCAGTTTACATTTTTTTTAAAAAGCGTCAGTTTATATCTTATACTGTTAATTGTAATAACATTTTGTAATTTTAATAAAACTTATTTGCGCTAGAAAAAAATTGCATGAGGGCGCTGAGGACCCTAGGACCGACCTCGTCTATATATATATATATATATATATATATATATATATATATATGTGTGCGTGCGTGTGTGTGTGTGTGTGTGTGTACAGTGCTGGACTTACAGTAGGGGCAGTCGGGGCTAGTGCCTAGGGCAGCAAAACTTGAAATGTGAGAAAAAAATTCTATGCAATATAATTAACTTATTCTCTTTATTAATATTTTTATTTCAAGCAATACAATTAACAAAACATAATAAGATTGTAATGCAAAATTTGGATTCAAATAACCGATTATTAAAATTCAATATTTTTTATTTCAAATTTTGCGCCGTTAATTTGAATGCATTATGAGCTTTTTTCCTGTATCTTTGGAATAGCTAGATCTGCCTTGGCCAAAAACTTATCAACATGTCTCCTTATCAATAAGAATCATATGTTTTTTAAATTATTCCAATCGGTTGAACCGTGGGTTCTCAGAATAGTCGTTGAAAATTTGTATGCGCGCCAAAATGCTCAGAAACCTTCGAAACGTAAAGATGTACATTTTTTTCATTTTCCATTTTTTGGCGATTGCGATAACTTTCCCTACTGGAAGTTTATCGAATGTGCCTGTGAAGAAAGTCTTTAACGCAAAATTTATAAATCTTATTGTTAGAACAAATATGATTATTTTGTTATATTATCGTAGTATGAAATGAAATAGTTATTTTAATTTTAGAAAAATGAGTCATAAAAATTATGTAAGTAAAATTTCAGGAAGGGTGCGGCATATTTATCAGCGCCTCAGGATGCCAAATTTCCATGTCCGGCCCTGTATATATATATGTATATATATATATATATATCCTCAAGATATATATATATATATATATATATATATATATAGTACATGTTCGCCGCCTGTCTTGGATAATTTTGTTGAAAATCGAAGACAACTTTTATAAATCATTTCAATTACAATTTACAATTTACTACAGCGGTCAATTCCAAGCTTTTTAGTATGAATATAAATAGATATATATTATGTGAACATTGTTGATTATTTTTCTAGACTTTGCCAGAGTATCACAGAATTATGATAAAGTCAATAATTATTGAATTATCAGATAGTATTTAAAAAATTTACCTCAGTTACTTCCTCCGATGCCAAACGTTTCAGTATCGTAGTTTTTCCAGCATTATCTAAGCCGAGTAACAAAATTCTAATTTCTTTATCAGGAGATGATCTTAAACGCCTTAATATTGCAAGGAGACCCTATCAAAGGTAAAAAAGATTCAATTATCATGAAGCATTTCTAACTTATGCTCGACAAACAGAACCAGTAACTATGGCAACAAGAGTAATACAATTAAAATTTGCTTCATTGAGATTTATTGATTGTAATACTTTAAAATACATATCAATTGTAATAGTACTTACCATTCCTATTGTTTCCACAAGCTTTAGGAACACAACTATATTTTAAAGTAGCAGTTCAAACTTTTAAAACCAGGAACTCTAAACATTAGCACAGCCACATAAAATATATTGGCCAAGCATAACCAACCTTATCAAAATAAATAGTTTTAAAATTATTTACTTATATTTTTTATTATTTATTAAAATAATTTAAATAAATAATATCGATAATTTTTTGTGTCAAAATTTATTTAAAATAGTATTTATATATGAATAAAATTGATATTCTCTTCTTATTGAAATTTTATGTTATAGCGTTAAGTTGGATATGCAACGTTTCAATGCGCATATCGCAAGAACTTCATAGTTTTGGAAATGTCATAACAAGTTGTGATAGTTTTGCTTAAGAATATAATATATAAAATTACATTGTACTAATGTACCATTTTTTATCGTTGTATTTAGGATTATATTTATCATTTATTAAAACCCAATTGGGTTTTATTTTGTTTATTCATTGAATCAAGTTTAACGATGAAACTTTTATATTGTGGATTTAATGGCTTCAAACAAATTCCTCATGAAAATATTATTATTTCAAAATTAAGTACCGTAAACTTACACTGCTTGCAGGAATCAGAAGATCTGAATATTTCGAAGAAGCAAATAGAAAATATTACCCGAATTGAAATATTTCTTCATTGGTCGTACAATGTATTAATTATAAATAATAATATTTATAAATTGGGTTATTGCAACAGTTCACAAAAATCATTAAACCAAAAATTACGGATAAACAACAATAATCAAGTTACAGATATTTTTTGTAAGGACGATGTGCTAATACTTCTCGATTCTGATAAAAATGTGTTTGCATATAAAAATAACAGTGAATATGAATTAGGTATGTATCTTAAATTGTGATTCATCAGTTCTTTGTTCTGTATTAATTGAATCTTGTTTTAAAATTTCTAACTGGTGACTAAACTAAAGTTATGCAGAACAATTTGACAATGATTTAAAATTCTTAAATAAATACATAAGAATATGGTTAAATGTGAATATTGTAGCTGGAAACTAAATTTAAGAAATTGTTCAAAACACTTGAAGATTTATTTAGACCTATTCTGTTAGTATAAAATGTCTGATTTGGTATAAAATCTCTCATCCTAAATATTAATTTTTGCCTTTAATTATTATAGAAACTGTATCGAAAATACATTATAATAAATATGTCACAAATAATGTACCTTGCAAGTCTGAAGTGGTGCAATATTTATGTGCGGGCCATTTTCTTACTGCTATAGTATCTCTAGATAATAATTTATACAAAACTCCAAAAGAGGCACGGGCAAGTGTAGATGGAACTGTTATTGATATATCTAGTGGTTTCGAACATACTTTATTATTAACGGCAGAAGGAAAAGTATATTCATGGGGCGTAGGAAGGTAATTTACATAAAATACTAACAAGTAATTACAATCTTGCGGCATATTTAAAGCTAATATTATTCTAAAGATGAACTTACTTACTTATGTACTTGTCACATAATTTGATAGGCTTATTTTGATAGTAATTTCTGTTGTTATATTATAGAAAGAAGTAGAATAAACTATTAACTAATTTATTTAGATCTAACTATTAAGTCAACTTTGTATTAGAACTATTTTATCTTATTTTTTTATTTCAATTGCACAATATTAATTTTAAAATAGAAAATGGTGTAATTTAATAATTGATGCCACAGAGCATTCTTATTATACAATCTATAATGTTGAATTATTCAACATTTGAAGAGATAATTTTTTATGAACAGCATTTTTTAATCTTGTATAAAATTTATAAATAAATTAAGTGAACACTTTGTTTATGATGGATCATATTATATTCTCAGCCGTGGCCAGTTGGGACATGGAGAAATATCTAATGAAAGATTTCCACGCTTAGTAGAAGCATTAGATGGAATACAGGTAGTAAAAAACAGTTCATTAAATGAAACACAAACTAGAAACAAAGATTAAAAAAAAAATTCATCAACTAATATTCACCTTATATCTACTCTAGATGATTTTTGTATCACTTTTCTAGTCAAATTTTTAACTTGTGCAATTATTTGCTTTCCTTGTATAATGTACTTTTCATAAACTGCATATACTAAACATAATTTTTATACAATCTTTAATAACAAATGTAAATTTGTGTTTTTATACACCAGCTTCTTAAATTTTTAGGACAATTTATGTAATAAATATGATTCAATGTAGTAATTTTATATTGTGAGATTATAAAAAGTCCGTGTTTTAAAAACTGCTTTGTGAAAAAATAATAAAAGTTTCATAGAGCAAAAACATTTTTAATAATTTGAATTGAATAGTAGAAGGAATTGCTAGTTTTTATTTGAAATTATTTTGATATGAGATTACATTATCTTTTACATATATATTTGATTTTCCGCAGATTTCGAAAATCTCAGCAGGTGGATGGCATAGCTGTGCAGTGGGCATATTAGGAGAATTATACACTTGGGGGTGGAATGAAAAAGGACAATTAGGATTACCTATTCCTAAGAGTTCTTTGAAATCTTTACAAAAGTCAATAGCTACAGAAACTGATTCATTCAATGCTATGTTTACTCCTAAACTAATAACATTCATAGATAATGAATTTGAGGTATTTCAAATAAGTAGTGGAAACCGACATACAGTAATATTAGGAAACGACATGAAATTGTATGGTACAGGTTGGAATAAATACAAACAGTTAGGAATTGAAGATACCTCAGATGTGATATTACAGTTTTGTGAAATACCAAGCACAGGTTTCATTTTAACAAAAGATATTAAATTGAAATGTGGACCTTGGAGTACAGCATTGATAGTGAAATAAGAAATATGTGTTTTCTATAATAAATAAAGATATATAAGTAACACAAATGAAATTTGTATTAAATGTATTTCAAATACAACTAGAAAATTTGCATCAAAATCTTTTGTATTATTTCTTTCATCATACCCATGCTAATGATACTTTTATGCCACAACAGAATTGATTTCTAAATCTTTATTACCAATTTATTAGTCTTTACAAAATCTAGTCCTATTAAAGGTATTGCATTATCACTTATGAACTTTCAGTAAAATAAGAAAATATCCAAGAATGCTATTGGAAGTGCATTGAATATTTGCCAGAACATATAAACGAATTACTTAATAATTCTGACAATATTAAATATAAAAGTGTTTCCCATGGACCATAACAAAACTAATAGTCACTGTTTTGACTTTCGAATAACTTGAGATACTTTTTTGTGATACTGATTTTACTTAAAATCAGTGTAACAAAATCAATATATGTTAGTATACTATGCAACAAACTTTTTTCATTCAATTTTATTTCATATTATTATATTATTAGAACAGTGATTAGAACATAAGAATTCTATCAGCTATAGCTGATATGACTTAAAACTATGTTGATTTCATAGATAAACGGTTGTTACATCTCATGTGTTAAGGGCTACACGAAGATATATCATTTACGCCCAATTAAATCAACTACCTGTCAAAAAAATCGTCAAAATCGGTACAGCCGTTTTTGGAGATTAGCCCGTACAAACCCAAACAGTCAAAAATAAAAAAAAAGTTAATTTGGTATATTAAACGTACAATATTTATATATTAAAATGCATATATTAAAAATCGTACAATATTTATATATTAAAATGCATATATTAAAAATCGGCTATTTCTGATGTATTGCCACTCCAATTTTATTTATATGTTTAGATGATAGATTAGCTGGCTTGATATGCTTGAAAACATCGTGTGTTACGAGATTAATAAATGCATGGGTACCTGTAACCTGTAAGTAAGTAATTTCTATAAATATGTTTATTTCAAATTTGTTATTTTTCAGCAATCAGAACTATTAAATGTCCTATAAGCTGCATTTAGACGACGTTGTTAGATTGATTGTTTTTACTACTTGATAATGATTTTTTTATTTTTATTACTGAACGCTATTAGAAGAGAAGCCCATGGTCGCCTTTATAATTGGGATATTGCAGCAGTGCCCAAAAGGCTATTTTCGCGAAAAAACATTATCATCATGTGCTCAGGTGAAAACCGATGGCATTACTGCTGTGGAGTAATATTTGCTATTGGAACGGTTTGCAAACCCTTCTGTCACTCCCCTCCCGAACGAAAACCGAACATACCTCAGAGGTACATTTTATAAAAGTGTTCATTTCATCGAAGACGCTTGATCGGCTTACTTGGCACAGGTAATATTATATAATATATGATGCGGTATTATAATATTATCGGCATTGCCCAGATAACAAGTTACAATTTATTTTTCCAATATTATTTAATTATGTAACTCACTATAGTATTCAATGTTCGTGTAAAATTCAAATGCTATAGAATCCAATGCCAATTGCGATATTTTTTCATATTTTAATTGAATGGACAGAACGATGAAATTTGTGTGCGGCTGGTTTTGTGTACGTTTTTTTTTTGTTCGATTTATTTTTATGTAGTATGAGTCTTAGCTCTAGTTAGTTACATAGTAGCGAACGACATACGCTTCATATGCAGAATTTGATCCACGTGCTTAACCCCTTAACATACAATGCCGAATATAGCCCGCGTACAATGGCTAGGCAAAACGAAACGTAAATTGCGTATGATAATCGGGCCAGAAGCAAATATTACGCATTACGTGTATGGCCCGATACTGTAGTCGCAAGCATTACAATATATTTATTCATATAAAACTATAAAACACAAAATTATTTTTATTTTGCGCCAGATACGCTTTTTGCATATATTAATCTTTCAAGACCTTCTGAATATTTTGGCATACCATAGAAAAAATGGATGTATGTGTGTGTGTGTCTTTGGATTCAAATTTCCACGATTTGGGAGCACGGATGACGTTGACGAGGAGACGTGCTTAATAGTTTTTGGCAGAGACAGTTTCAGAGATACGGGGCAAAAACTGTAAAAAAATATCTTTAACTTGCAACTCAGTTTGAAATGTTCATGCAATAAAAATGAGATGGTCCTCAATAGAATTCAGAGTAGTATGCACTGCGATAACGTTTTGTTCTTTTCGTTTAATGAAGTAGCTCAAATATAAGCGATTATATTAGCTACATAAAATACTAACGATGAACTTTAAAATATATTCTATAATAATTTGAAAGTATTTAAAACAATCATTATTAATAATTGATACGCCGATTATTTTGAATATTTTTATTTCTCGAATGTTCAAGGGAATGCAATACCGGTATACCGCCCAATTTTTTGGCGGTATGAATACCGATATTTACCTCGAAAATATCGGTATTTTCGGTATTTAGTTGATACATCTCACACTCGAGCAGGGCCGGAATTAGAAATTTGGCGTCCCGGGGCATTGACAAAAATGCCGCCCCATCCCTAGAATTTTACGAACTTTCGAACTTTTTTTAAAGCAATCGCACTGCTTCAGCTGCGTAGGGACAAAATATAGGTGCGCGAACGAATAAACTATGTTACATAACCCATATAAATGTAAACAAAATTTATACTTATTAAAATATTTTTAAAATATCTGATGATTTGATGTGCATATGTCTTATGATCACTTTTGTCCACCAAATGTTTCTTTTTCAAATTTTTTTATTGGATCATCGAAACCGCTAAACCACCTGCCTCCCACAAATTTAAGCAGTTATTTATTCTATATTTTTTTGAATGATATTGGACGCATCTTTTCTCAACAACTAAATTATCATTTTTGTCATTTGGCCTGTATCTTCAAAACAGTTGGACCTGCCTTGGCCAATAACTAATCAGCACGTCTCCTTAACAATAGAAATTGAATCATTTAAATCGGTTGATCCGTGTTCACTTGAATAATTAAAAAATGTTAGATTTGTATTGATGGGGAGACGTGCTGATTAGTTTTTGGCACGAATTACGAAAAATGGTAATTGAGATTTGATATTTCTTCTCTGAAACAGCTACGCAGCGCGATTGCTTTGCAAAAAGTTCATAATTTTCAAAAAATTTCAAAATACAAAAAATGTGTTTTAAAAGTCAATTTTTTCATTTTCAATTTTTTTTCAATTTTAAAGCTCTTTATAAAATGTAATTTTCAGTACGGGTGTTTCAATCATTTGTCTTAAGGCACAATGCCATGCGTCACTAGTTTAAATTTTTTTTTCAACGCTATAGGCTTGGAAGTGCAGAAATTCGTCATTTTAAGAAGGCTCGAGAACTGAAAAAATATTTTTCTTAAACTTTCAGCTTGTTTACGGATCTTTATATTAGCCAAATTGACAAATTTGATAATGACTTATTAACCAATTTGATAATTTACGTTAGGAGAGGGAGGCAAGGCAAAATAATAAATTTTACTAATCGGTTATTTCAACCCAAATTTTGCATTGCAATCGTATTATGTTTTGTTAATTATATTTTTTGAAATAAAAAATGTTGTTAAAAAAAGTTGATTATATTGTATAGAATTTTTTTCTCACTATCCAAATTTCGCCGCCCCCAAAAATTTGCCGCCCTGGGCAGTAGCCCCGATTTGCCCCTACTGTAAATCCAGCACTCGAGCTCAAATTTATCGGTACTATGTCATGCCCTAGGGAATGCAATACCGGTATACTGCCCAATTTTTTGGCGGTATGAATACCGGTATTTACCTCAAAAATATCGGTATTTTGGGTATTTAGTTGATACATGTCACACTCGAGTTCGAATTTATCGGAACAAATTTATCTTTAATTTCCATAATCGCTTAAACAGATACATCTTTAGATGTTCTATTGTATCAACACGTCAAATAATGTCAAATAGAAATGCTTAGATTGTATATAATGAATGACTTACGTTGTATATAGATACAACACATGTGTGAAACCGTTAAATGATTTATATTAAATACCGATGTTCTTTTAATATTGAGAAAATAATTCTTCACGTGTTCGATTATATACAACACGAATTTATTTCTTCATATCATACTATGTAAACAGAAGACTTCCAAATGCAGATTCATTGCATGCTTTTAATCACCTTGAAGATAAACCACGAACAATACTTTAAACAATTTAAACAATACACGCGGCGGCGACACCTTAGAATTTAACTATGTGTTCGGTATTCGGCAAAATATCAAAAATGGTGCCGAATAGTAACCGCATAACAATTTTTTGAAGCAACATCTGCACCCAAATATTTTATATCATGAATACTCGTGTCACTTCGTTTTTTTTAACTTTATACTTATTAATTATTATTATTATTAAATATTTTTGTTTTTTATTACAATTATAAAATATTATTTTACGTAAAACGTATCGCAGTTTGAACATGATATAGAACTATTATATTGTTTTGAATTACCTTGATAAACTATCGGATCTTAGTATAGGAAAATTACTGTTTTAAACTCTTTAAAATATTAAAAATTGTGCTGATTTAGCACATCGGGTACAGCAATACAATTCATTATAAACATGTAATATGATCCTTAATGAGTTTTTGGTCTTTCTTACTAAGATGTTCGATTTTGGTGTAAAGTACTCAATATACTCGATATTGATAATGAAATATCGAAATACCGGTATTGAAATTTTTTATCGGTATTGTATTCCCTACCATGCACCACTAGTTCTGTTTATTTGAATGCTATTTATTAAATCATTGATGCATTTTCTAAGTCCGACTTATTTAAGCGGTCCCTATCCACCGCATAAAAATGCTCATATAATTGTTCAATGTTCAATAATTTATCAATTTTTCTAATATTTTTATAATTTTTTTAATAAGGTCCCAAAAACCGCATAAAAGATTTGTTTTTGTTTCTAAGTTTCAAGCACCATA